ATCATTCCTTTCCCTAGTCAAGTCGATTGCAGCTTCGAGCGCCGTAGGCGCCCCGTTGCATTGCATCCCACGGAAGATCATGTCCAAGCACGTTTGGGCTTTGACAACTGAATCGTTTTTGGATGCAGCTGAAGCGCATTGAGGAACAAACGCATGCGATCACGACGGGAAGCGGGGAGGAGAGCGAAGCATTTGCTAAGCAGGAGAGCGGGTTGAAGCATTTGCTAAGCAAGAGGGCGGGTTGAACGGGCCACGCGCAAACGATCGATGCAAGCCAGGTGGACCGACGAGCTGCTGCTGAGCTGCTCCTGAGCATCGCGACGGGCATCGCCACGTTGACTTTTGGGTGGCCATGGGGGGACAGGGCGGGGAGGAGGCGGAAGAGGACGGGGAAGGAATGCATGGCGCTCTCGTGATCGCGCTGGTGGCGGGCGCAGCGGACGGCGTCGTCATCCTATGAATTGCATGGTTTGAATTTCGCGCCAGCGTTTCATCGGCACGGGCGCGGCTGGAAAATTAGAATTAGGAAGTTGGCGGCGCGACGAGGGGTGCAAGGGGGAGGGAAGGAGGCTTCTTATAAGGCATGGTGTTTCTTAGATGCCCTCGGAAGTTTTTAAGAAGCTCTCGGAATGCTTCTAAGCAGCACCCTGTCTTATAAGATGTTCCTCCCTCACCCCCCTGCACCCCTCGGCGCGCCGCCGAGAAAGGCGCGCAACATGGGCGGTAGCATGAACAGAAGCATTGGCAACGTATCGTCGGAGCAGTGGCATTTGCAGTATCATGTGCAGTAGCGCGTGCAGTGTGGGCAGTTGCATGGACAGGAGCATGGGCAGTAGCATGGATATAGCATGGGCGCTGGCGTGGGCAGTGGAATTAGCTGTAGAAGTAGCAATGGCACGGGCAGCAGCATGGGCAGTAACGTGGGCAGTATCGCGGGCAGTATCATGCGCAGTATCATGGGCATTAGCATGGTCGGTGGCAGCAGCAGTAGCAGAAGCATGGGCAATAGCACGAAAGCAGGAGCATGGCCAGTGGCAGTAGCAGTAGCAGTAGCAGTAGCAGCAGTAGCAGTAGTAGTAGCAGTAGCAGTAGCAGGAGCATGGTCAGTAGCAGGAGCATGGCCAGTGGCAGCAACAGCGGCAGCAGTCAGGAGCAGGCCCAGGAGGGAGGGAGGGGCCTAGGAGAGAGAGAGAAAGAGGGAGGGAGAGTGAGACAGAGAGAGGGAGAGAGAGAAAACAAACAAAAAACAATGGAGGAAAAACAGTCAGGAGAGCAATGGGGCGATGCAGTGAGTATCCGCCGCGCGCCTCCTAACCAGCGGGAAGCAGCGCCCCCCCGTTCCGGCGCCGCCCGCGCTGGGTCGCCCCCCCCCCCCCCCCCCGCGGGAGCGATGACGGAGCCCAGCTTGGTAGGGTGGAAGATGCGCTCGGTCAAGTACTACCAGGAGAGCGAGAATCCCCGCGTGTGGCTGGTCATCACCGAGTGGGAGGCGAGCAGGGGGTGAGGAAATGAGGTGGCGGAGGGAGCGGAGGAGGCGGGGGGGGCGGAGGAGGAGGAGGAGGAGGAGGAGGAGGAGGAGGAGGAGGAGGAGGAGGGGGAGGAGGAAGAGGAGGAGGAGGAGGAGGAGGAGGAGGAGGAGGAGGAGGGAGAGGAGGAGGAGGAGGAGTGTGCCCGCGCGTAGACATTGGTGCGCATCACAAGGTGACTTAGCATTCAGGACCAGGGATGAGAGGGCGCATGGCATTGCAATGGGAGCAGTATCATGGGCAGTATCATGGGCACTGGCATGGCTAGTAGCATGAGCAGCAACATGGTCGGTGGCAGCAGCAGTAGCAGGAGCATGGGCAATATCATGAACAGTAGCAGTAGCAGTGGCAGTTGAGAAAGAAGTCGGGGGAGGGAGGGAGGGGCCCACGGAGAGAAGCGGGGGCGGACAGCTGGCCAGGGGAGGAGCCCGCGCCTGAAGCAGACGGAGAACCAGGCGAGCCTGCACCCGAAGCAGCCGCAGCAGCAGCAGCAGCACCAGCAGGAGAGCCAGCTGCGCCCGCAGACAACAGCAGCAACAGTCCCGCGCCCGCAGGCAGCAGCACCAAGCAGCCGCAGCAGCAGCAGACGCAGCAGCAGCACCAGCACCAGCAGCCAGACAGGAGTGCGCCCCCGTGGGGCGCGCAGGGGCACCCAGCAGCAGCAGCAGCAGCTGCTGCAGCAGCTCCGCCCGCAGAGGCGCCAGGAAGCAGCGCGCAGGACGGGAACGGCAAGTGGAGTGGAAAGCGGCGATAAAGGGAAGTGGTGAGCAACGGCGAGGGAATGGCAGGGGAGCTGTAAGCATAGTGCCACGCCAGAGCGGGGGTTGCTTAATGATGAAGGATTGGTCGTGGAGCGGCGAGCAACGGCAAAGGAACGGTCAGGGAATTCATGGGCAGCAGTCGGCAACGGCAGGGCAAATCTAGCGGGGTGGCGAGGACCGCGACGGAGAGCCGCCGAAGCCCGACATGGAGAAACCCGTCGCGGAGTCCGACACGGAGCCCGAGAAGAGCTCGCCGAGCGGGGGGGGCGTGCAGGGGGACGCATACCAGCAGGAGGACGCCCGAGGGAGGGGCATTGCGAAAAGTGGGATCGACAGGCACCAGAAGATGGTTTGTTCCAATTGGGGCGTGGCCGAGACGAGGATGCTGTAGAACAAGTTTTCGTTTGGGCCCCATGGCCAAGTGCCGAAACGTTGGTTCGAAATGTGTAAAAACTTATGTCGAACCCACGTTTTGCTCGGGGGTGGGATGCCGCATGCTGCACGCACAAGCTTACGACAGATGAGGGGGTGAGCGACGCGGGCAGGGCAAAATATCCAGCATGGCAAAGAAGAAGAATAATAATAAGAAGAAGAAGAATAAGAAAAAGGAGAAACAAAAAAACGGCAGTGGCAGGATCTGTCCGCCACGGAGGCGCTGCGCCAGGCGGAGGCGCTGAAGAGCGCCATGCGGGCATATGACAAGGGGGCCACGCGGTGCCCGAGCAGCCTGGACGGGCGCGTTGGCGCCGTGGAAAAGCAGCCAGAGCATGCGGGCGCCAGCGGCACGGGCGCGGTGGGGCCGCGGGCAGTGCATTGCGAACTTGAGAAGGCACGCGGAGGTTGGCATGTGAAGGGACCAGGGGAGCTGAGTGGGGGGAGGGAATTTGAAGCGCGCGAAGGGGGGAGGGAATTTGAAAAGCACGAAAGCACTGCGAAGGTTTGGCTGTGAACGAATGGAAAGCATGCGAAGGGAAGCAGGGGGGAACACAACGCGAAGGTTTGGCCATCGGCCAGCTCGGGGAGGGGGGGGGGGGGGGGGGGGGGGGGGGGGGGGGGTGGGGGGGGGCGGGGGGGGGGGGGGGGGGGGGGGGGGGGGGGGGGGGGGGGGGGGGGAATTTGAGGCATGAGTGAATCGATGGCGCGGGGCGGGCCGCGGGCCTGCGCGGGAGGGCAGGTCGAGATCCCGCCGCCGCCGCCGCCGCCAGTGCAGCTCCCGAAGGCCAGCGGTTTTTTAGTTGAGAGGGAAGCGAGACAACGCTCATGAGGGGCATGGTAAAGGAAGCGAGGACAGGTTGGCGCCAGGGCAAGATCGGAAGTTGTGCTGGGCAGAGTGAAGCAGTGGTGCGAAGGGTAGTACGAAGAGGGTCACATTCCAGGCTGGCTTCCCCATGGTCCAGGCCGTGCCGCTGCTGGTTCCGCAGGCGCCGCAGGATCGCGCTTTGACGGGGAGGGGGGGGGGGGGGGAGGGGGGAGGGGAGGGCCGTCGCCGTCGCCGCGGCCGTCGTCGACGGCCGTTTTCCACCCCAACACGCTCCCAACGAACGCCCCGCATGCTTTGCGCATGTTGGTTTTTGCCAGACTTTATGAGGAAACACGAAGTGTGCGCTGGGAGCGTGTCGGGCCAGAAAACGGCGTCCGAAACAACGTCGTCGTCGTCGTCGTCGTCGTCGTCGTCGTCGTCGTCGTCGTCGTCGTCCGTCGTCCGTCGGCCCTGTCGTCGTCGTCGTCGTCGTCGTCGTCGTCGTCGTCGTCGTCGTCGTCGTCGTCGTCGTCGTCGTCGTCGTCGTCTGACGGATGAGAAGGAATAGGAGGAAGATGGGGGAGGGGAAACGGCCGCTCAAGGCGTGGGCGCCGCCGCCGCCGTGGAGGGCGCAGCGGATGCAGCCCGCCCCGCCGCGGCAGGGGGGGGAGTTGCGCATGCGGCAGCATGTGAAGGTCAGAGTTGCGCAGTGGCAGCAGGCGAAGGTGTGAAGGCGAGAGCTGGGCAGGGGAGAGTGAGCAGTGGCAGGGGGGGAGTTGCGCACGTCGAACGGATGGGCGAAGGATGGCGCAGCGAAGGTGAGCGGCGGAATGAAGTGAGCAAGAGAAGCGCAATGGGCAGGGCAGGCATCCGCCGCCCGCGAACCTGCAGCGGCAAGGTAGGCCGTACTGAGCGGGCCCGGGGCGCGACATGCGCGGGAGTTGAGAAGGGGGCGCGGGCAAGGGCAGGGAAAATTGGGCAGAGCACGTCGAGTGAAAGTGCAGCAACGAGAAAGGCGAGAGCGTCACGAGGCAGAGAAGTTGGCAGGTGTGGTGGAGAGGAGGTTATCAGCGTATTGAGCGGGAGTGTCCAGCAAGAGGTTGGTCAAGGCATTCGTCGAACCGCGCCCAGTGCACGTTTACCTTTAACTTAGTGAACTTAAGTTCGCCCTGAACTTAAAAACACATGTTTTTAACTTAGTTTTGCCCTTAACATAAGCCCTTAACTTAATAACTTAAACATAACTTAACTTTAGTTTTCTGAGGGTGGCCGATCCTTGGGGAAACGTGGGCGGACATCCGGAAGGCATCCCGGGCCTGGGCGGCAGGAAACGAATCACCCCCCCCCTCTCCTCCCAGGGCGCACCTGGCGCCCCCCGACGGCAATTCATGGTTGCAGTTTTCTTTCGAAAGCCCAGGAAAGGAAGGGGATGGGGAAGGGGGGAAAAGGGGCCGCGCCCCGCCCGGGCCCGAGGTTCTGTTCCCGCTCCTGTCCAGCATCGTCCATGAGCGGCAGACGGCGGGCCTCTCGCTCGAGGAGGCGTGCCCAGCTTTCGTAAGCACGGACACGTACCACAAGCACTACAGGAAGTACAGGGCGCTGGCAGACGAGATTGCGCAGCTCAGCCGCCTGCGCGTCCGTGGCCAGACGCCCCGCGGCCAGGTCGCCTCCTGCAGTGTCTCCAACCCCGCTTTCGAAATCTTGGTGGCCGGCGAACCTTTCCACGACGTCCTCAACGCCCGGAGGCGCGTGGGCCCGCAGGCGAATGACAGTTCTGATTTCTGTTTCGACCACGCGGACATGCTCGGGCGCCTCAACGCCCCCGCCCCGCCCGCGCGACCGCAGGGGGAAGCCGCCCCCCCCGCGCTCGGAGATGCTGGGAGGGCCCTGCTCCGCGCAGCGGTCACCCAGTCCGCGGGTGGCTTTGCTGCGACGCTGGCGCGCGACCCGGTCGCCTCGGTCGAGTTGCGCGCTTTCCTGGCGTCGCCCGGCGTTCGCAAGGCCAAGGTGTTGTGGCAGGCCGTCGGGGCAAATTGCGACGCTCCCCTCTGATTCCCGGGACCCCCGCCTCCCAGCCCCCCGTCTTCGTAAAGCCCGCCCGCAGTAACCGAGCGGGGGCGTCCTTGCGGTCTCGGGGCCATCCTTCGGGGGAGAGCCTTGAAATCCGATCTCGGGTTCTTCCTCTTGGAACGTTTTTGGGGGCCTCTAGAGCCCGCTGAGGACCGTCCTGCTAGCTCCTCGGGCGGACTTGGGGCGATATGGGCACGTGCATCCGTGCGTGGGGATTGCCGGGGCGAAAGGTTTTAGTGCCCCCCCGAAACCAGAATTTTATTATTCCCAGGGTGCACGTCTCAGGGGCACTCGGTTACTGGCGGCCCTGGTCATGGGGGGGCCGAGCGGGCGCGGGTATCCTGCCCCGCCGCCGCAGGGCATGTTCGGCGCGCAGCCGCCGCGGCCCGTGCTCGCACGGCTGGCTCGACGCGCGGGCGCCCAGTTGCACCCGAGCCTCGGCTGGTGCAATTACCGAAGCCGCAAAGCGTTCAAGGCCGAGGTCCGCAGGATGCGACAGTGGTACTCGAAGCCGAGGCGACTCGCGCGCCGCCGGCGTGGGATCCTCCGCGTCGGCCCCGCAGCTCCCGAGAGCGTCCGGGGGCGGCAGTGCGCATTTAACGGCAAGCTAAAATCAGGATGGCTCCGCCTCGCCGCCAACGCCCCAGGCCCGCGCGAAAGCGACGCGGTGCCAGCGCAAGGGGGTCTGCCAATGCCCGCGGAGGCTCTGCAGAGGGCCCGTGCGGTTCGCATTGCAGTAGGCTTTTGAAGAAGCTGCGACTCGACGGGCTGCTCGCTTGGCAGCGTTGCGCGGAGAGCTTGCGCCTGGCGGGGATGGGCCCGCGATCTGGCACGGTGCCCGTGGAGACGATGTGGTCCATTCAAGCATCGTATTGGCCCGAGCGCACTAAAAATGTGTCAATCGAGCTTTTCCAACTGTTCGCGAACTTATCGAACATCCTTCGGCCTATCCGACCACCTTGCCTGTGTTGTGGGTCAGAGCCCCCAGAGATGCTTCTTGGGGTATATTCGGAGCGCTCTCGGCCTCTCTGGAGGGCAGTGCTGCAGCCTCTGGGGAGCTCCTTGGGGCTTCCTGGGGGCCTCTTGGGGGCATCTTGGGGCTTATTGGGGGCTTCCTGGGGGCATCTGTGGGCCGAGTGCACGACGTGTCCGTTCGGGCCCCCCGGGCCCCCTCTCGGGGCCGTCTCGGAGGCCTCTTGGGCCAGCTTGGAGGCCTCTTCAACCGACTTAGGCCATCTGGGGCCATTGTGGGGGCCCCATGGGAAGCCTCTTGACCCGTGTTGGGGCGATCTCGAAGGCGGCGATCTTGGGCGTTTGCGACCGATCGTTCGAAGACTCGGGGCCCTCTTGGACCGTCTTGGGGGCTTTCCGGGGCCCTTTTGGCCCATCTTGGAGCTCTCTTGGCGCCCCGAATGCACGCGGGACAAACCCCAACAGCGCGCCAGAGCGCCCAGGAGCGCCTACGAAACCGAAGGTCCGGGCCCTGAAGTACCTCACATCCTGGGGCCCTCCACAGCGTGCAGAAGGCACGGTGGCGGATCTTTCTTGCGATGCCTGCGGTCTCATTTCAATCGCGCCGACCTCCCGCCTTGGGCGGAGAGCGATTTGCTGTGCCCTTTGCCTGCGGCGCCCCCGCCGTCTCCCTTGTCTGGCACGGACACTCCAGATAGACGATCATAAATGAGACCGCGCGCGTACGCGGCGAGCGGGGGCAGTGGAAGATGGGGGGAGGATGGCGAGGGAACAGGAGGGGGGAAAGGAGAGGCAGGAGGAGGTACCGGAAAGAGGGGAGGAGGAGGAGGAGGAGGAGGAGGAGGAAGAGGAGGAGGAGGGGGAAGAGGAGGAGAAAGATAATCCCAAAGAGGCCGATGGGGGAGGCGCCGACGGGCGCTTCGTGGAGGCCTCGCGGATATTTCGACAGCGTTCAGCGGGCCCTCCAGTTGCTATCTGACGAGGCCCCGCCGTTGCAAAGGGAGCTCGTGGAGGAATGCCGAGCGCCGGGCCAGGGACCTCCGGGCGCGCATCTCGATTCTCGTTGCCCCGCTTCCGCTAGCACTGGGTAGACCCAGCCAGGCAGGGGTCCGGAGAACCATTTTGAACAGGCCAGGCGCTCCTTGAGGCGCACCACAGGGAGGGGGCGGATGAGGTGGAAGACGATCAGGGGAGAAGGAAGAGGCAGAGGAGGAGGAGGAGGAGGAGGGGGAGGAGGAGGAGCAGGAGCAGGAACGGAGGAGGAGGAGGAGGAGGAGGAGGAGGAGGAGGAGGAGGGGTGCAGAAAGAGAGGAGGAGGAGGAGGAGGAGGAAGAGGAGGAGGAGCAGCAGCAGCAGCAGGAGCAGGAGAAGGAGCAGGATGCGCAGAGGGGCCTTCCCCCCGTGGGCGCAACGCCACCGCGGGCCACGCTCCCGTAGGCGCGCCCAGGGGAGGGGACGGACGAAGCGGAGGAGGAGGAGGAGGAGGAGGAGGAGGAGGAGGAGGAAGAAGAGGAGGAGGAGGAGGAGGAACAGGAACAGGAACAGGAGTTCCGCAGGAGCAGGAGCAGGAGCAGGATGTGCCAAGAGGCCTGGCCACTCGTGGGCGCAACGCCGCCACGCAGTTCTGCGCTCCGCCGCCCGCTGGCTTCAGCGTTTCTCCTCATAAGTCCTGCCCCCTCTTTCTCTTTCTCATTCCTTCTTCTGGAGTCCCTCTGCCCCCTCTTTTCCTCTCCCCCCTCCTCCTCTCGGTCCTAGGGCACGCAGCGGCTTTTTCCTTTCCCTTTTTTTTTTCCTTTTTCGTTCCCGGACGTTTTTTGTTTCTGGTCCTCACTCGATCCTGCCCTCCTGGATCCTGCCCTTATTCCTGATACCTGTGGCCCCCCCACCCCCTTCCACCCCGCTGCGACGAAAGATTAACATATTGCACAAAGCAGAGGCGACGTTGCCGACAATAACCATTCGTGTCTCGACCTGGCAGGCTGTCTGACGCGTGCAATTCGTGCATGCCTGTTGTGGGCTATGGAATTTTGTTGCCAGCGCGCAGGGCGCGATGCTGGCCAGGTCATTGCCCAGAACGAGGGAGGCTTCGAGAGCTTTCGGGCGCGTGGACGTGCCCCGCTCGATTGCTGCGCCGTGTACGTGTAATCGTGGTTGCGAGGGGGCGTGCCAGGCAGGACTCTTCCCGGTGCCCCCGAGAGGGGGTTCAGTTTTCTGCCCGCGGACGGTTTCTGCGCCGAGGGCCGACATACAATCTCGAGACGGCGATGGAGTCACTGTCGCTGTGTAGAGCCCCCTGCTCGGGAACGACGTCTCTTTTCGTCTCTGGAGCCCTCGGCCCGACCGCAAGAGAAAAAACGGCCTCGAGTAAAAAACGACGTCTTGATGGTTTCCATACAGAGTTTCCAGAGCTCACGACCCCATACTTGGGATCAACGTTTCGCGCCGTATCGTTCTTCTCACGTTCCTGGAGACCGAACGCGGCCCCCGGAGGCAGAAAACGGCAAGCAATAATCCATTTCAAGACGTCGGAGGGGTTGCGAATCGGCCTAAAACTCCAGGCGTTTACCCCCGGGTTTTTCAAATTTGCCCCTGGACCTCTCCAGGGGTGCATTCTGTCCAGGGGTGCATTCCGATTGGAATTTCGACTCGGCTCCATAGTGTTTTTGTTTTCCATCCGCGGTGACGATATGCCTCCTGGATCTTCGACCCTTGGCGACTGACATCGGCGCCCAAAAGGGGGGGGAGGGGAACGAGGAGGAAGGAGGAGGAGGAGGAGGAACGACGACGACGACACGACGACGACGCCGGCGGCGGCGAAGCGGCCGGCGGGGGCGTGGCCGCGGGCGGTTGCTGCGACGACGACGGCGGCGGCGGCGGCGGCGGCCGCGGCGGCGGCGACGACGACGACGACGACGATGGCGACGGCGACGACGGCGACTGCGACTGCGACGGCGACGGCGTCGGCGACGGCGACGGCGACGGCGACCGGGCCAGACGCCGCCCCGCGGGGTGCGAAGCCCACCGCCAGCGGGCGCGGGGACGACAGGCCTCCCAGATCCTCGGTCCTGGATCCTCCGAGCCGCACCCCGATGCTTGGGGCTGGTCCTGGACCCAGGACGCGCCTGGCTAGGGGCCGTGTGCTCCGAGACCACAGATCCGCTCGCATCGGGTCCCCGGACTTCTCCTGGGAACAGATGCGCCAGTTTCTCGAGCCGCGTGCAGCCGCGGCGACGGGATGACCCTCCGAGGGCCGCAAGCCTCGCTCTCGACGTGGACGTCGCCAGACGGCGACGGCGACGACGACGACGACGACGACGACGACGACGGCGACGGCGACGGCGACGGCGACGGCGAGGAAGAAGACCGGGGCCAGGCGCCCCGGGCCGCCTCCTGGGGCGCGGAGAGCCACCCCTGGCGGCCGCGGCTGCTGCGCAGCCCGACAGGAGGAGGAGGAGGAGGAGGAGGAGGAGGAGGAGAGGGGGAGGAGGAGAGGGGAGGAGGAGGAGAGGATGGGGGAGCGAGAAGGAGGAAGGAGGAGGAAGAGAGGATGGGAAGGAGGAGGAGGGAGGAGGGGGAGAAGGAGGAGCTGCAGGACCACAAGGGAACCAGTAAGACCTCCAGCGATGCTAGCTATACGCTCTCCCCGTTCCATTCCCCTCTGATAAACGGTCAATAACAGGTATTATTATTCCCTTTCACACCTGGGCGCGCGCGGCCCCTTAAAGACAAGGCTCTCCCCGTTGGCCTGACAGAGGCGCCCCATGGCCTGACCATGCGAGAACACCCATTTTTGAAAACCACCCTCCCTCCATACCATGTCACACTGATGACTGATTTGGATGTTTGGCTGGGATGGATTGGTATTTGAGTATAACTGATACTGAATTTGTGATGTTGATAGTGAATGGGGTGGATTGAATGGGATAAGATGTTGATTTGTGGGCTGATGATGATGGGCAATACGCAACCAGGGATGAAATGCGGGGGGGGGGCGCCAGTTCGCGCAGCGAGAGCCCCATTTTGAAAACGGCCTGCCCTCCATCCGTGTAATTGTTGCAAAGTTGAAGACGAATGTGCGCGGCGCCGGGGCGGGAACCCCATTTTGGAAAGGGAGCGCCCTCGATCCGTGTCATTGTCGCAAAATTTTCAGACGAATGTGCGCGGCACCAGGGCGAGAGCCCCATTTTGGAAAGGAACCGCCCTCAGGGGCGTTCCTCGGGAGGTCCCGTTCGGCGTGGTGTCGGGGCCCCCGAAGACTTGCCCGGGAGGTCCCGTTTGGCATGGCGTCGGGCCTCCGGGGGCATCCCCGGGGGGTCCCGTCTGGCATGGTGTCGGGCCCCGCGGGCCTGCCCCGGGAGGTCCCCTCTGGCATGGTGTCGGGCCCCTGGGGGTCCTGGGAAGTCTTGTTTTTGGCATGGTGTCGGGCCCCCGGGGGCCCCCCCTTCGCATGGTGTCGGGCCCCCGAACATCTGCCCCAGGAGGTCCCGTTTGGCATGGTGTCGGGCCCCCGAAGCCCCGCCCCAGAACGTCCCGTTCGGCATGGTGTCGACTTGCGGGAAGTTTTGTTTTTTGGCATGGTGTCGGGCCCCCGGGGGCCCCCGGGGGCTCCCCCGGGGGGTTCCGTTTGGCATGGTGTCGGGCCCCCGAAGACCTGCCCCAGGAGGTCCCGTCTGGCATGGTGTCGGGCCCCGAAGGCTTGCCCCGGGAGGTCCCCTTTGGCATGGTGTCGGGCCCCTGGGGGTCCCGGGAAGTTTTGTTTTTGGCATGGTGTCGGGCCCCCGGGGGCCTCCCCGGGAGATTCCGTTCGGCATGGTGTCGGGCCCCCGAAGACCTGCCCCAGGAGGTCCCGTTCGGCATGGTGTCGGGCCCCCGAAGCCCCGCCCCGGAACGTC